CACTGATGTACTGACTGATGAATAAATCGAAAAGATTAATGAAAGCCAATAAATCCTTTGGGATATTGCCAAGAAAGTATCAGTACTGTTATCAACCTCTAGGGAAAAATATTGTGGTCCAATTAAGTCCTTGCTACTTGCACAGTGCCTGGCATTTAACAAGTGTTCAGTAAAAACCTCTGAATGAACAGAGTATACTCCAATTGTTTCAATAAAGCCAAGAAACTTTGTAACACCTGACAGTTTCACCATCAGCTTATCTTTGAAACATTTCATGTTATAGTAGCACAGGTTCAGGATTAAAAATCTAATAACAGAGGCAAGCCTAAAACACTGTTGTATAGTACACTTGCTAAGATAGCAAAGAGATATGTTTTAAAACTTTTCTGAGATTTACCTCTAGACTGCTAAGAATCAAGGGCTGCACACAAAGCAGACCAGCAGGTTGTAATTTAAAAATTAAAATTAAAAATATGAGTTTTGGGGGCACCTGGGTGGCTCAGTGGGTTAAAGCCTCTGCTTTCGGCGCAGGTCATGATCCCAGGTTCCTGGGATGGAGCCCCGCATCAGGCTCTCTGCTCCGCAGGGAGCCTGCTTCCTCCTCTCTCTGCCTGCCTCTCTGCCTACTTGTGATCTTTGTCTGTCGAATAAATAAAATCTTAAAAAAAAAAAAAAAAGCCTCTGCCTTCAGCTTGGATCATGATCTCAGGGTCCTGGGATCAAGCCCCACATCGGGCTCTCTGCTCAGCAGGGAGATTGCTTCCCCCCATCTCTCTGCCTGCCTCACTGCCTACTTGTGATCTCTGTTAAAAAAAAAAAAAAAAGTTTTTTAGTTTAGCTTGAGTTTTGTTGTTGTTGCTTTTTAAAAAGATTTTGTTTATTCATTTCACAGACAAAGATCACAGGTAGACAGAGAGACGGGAAGAAGCCGACTCCCTGCTGAGCAGACAGCCCTATGCAGGGCTCGATCCCAGGACCCTGGGATCACGACCTGAGCTGAAGGTAGATGCTTAACCGATTGAGCCACCCAGGTGTCCCAGCCAAGCATTATCTTTTAAACTGACAAAACAAAAGGGGGTGCCTGAGTGGCTCAGTTGTTAAGCTTCTGCCTTAGGCTCAGGTCATGATCCCAGGGTTCTGGGATCAAGTCCCACATGGGCTCCTTGCTCAGTAGGAGGCCTGCTTGTGTTCCCTCTCTCGCTGTCAAATAAATAAATAAATAAATAAATAAATAAATAAATAAATCTTTAAAAAAAAAAAAAAAAAGAAACTGACAAAAATATTTTAATTGAGAGCTCTACTTGAGTTAGCTTCCTCCAAGACATCTTACTAACTTAATTTGATGACTCTTGTAATAAAATCTCTAGAAAACCTGCTGTTGAGATCTTTTATAAAAAACTTAAGGACCATAGTATGTAATATATATATGTACACACACACACACTCTCCTCTACTTTCATTCAGATTTCTTAAGTGGGTTTAAACAAAGGCTTTTATAGGACTATAGTCTATCCCTCCCCTTTTTAAATTGCAGTACAAACACTGTCATCTGTGCTGATAAAGTACTTTGACAATGGTTTCAACTGAAAATTTCTGAGAAAATTCACTCAACCAACATTTTCTGAAAAGTGAAATGAATGGAATGAATGAGGTAAGACAGATACTATGGGAGAAAAAATAAAGGAGGGTCCCTGCTTAAGATGCTCACAATGAAAACAGAATTACATGTTTTAAGTCTCCACATGTCTCTTCTCATCAGAGGACAAGAGCGCACACCAGTTGACTGTGCTTAGTGTTATTCAAAGTGGAATTCACAGGTGACAGATCTAAGAGGTCTCCGCTAAATTTTTTTTAATATTTTGTTTTCACTTCAGTGATAATCTGGAAGAAAAAATATATAACCATACACTAGCACATCTGAATTGCCATCTCATATCTAAGTGCTATACGAGTTTCATCTGAGGTTTCATTTATGATGAGACTAAGCAGTACTCTGTCCAAGATGAGGAAAGAACAGAGCTGAATTTAAAATGTAATGTTTTTCTAACCTGAGGGTTAAATGATCACACAGATTAGTCTTTAAAAAGGAGAACCGAATAATCATATGACCAGGGGAGCATTAACTTGCCATACTCAAAGAGTTCCTGCACTTTAAGAATTGCTACCACATTCTCAATACATTGGAAGTTTCCTTTTAGCAAAATACTATGCCACAATGAATTAATAATTTACACAAATTTTGTCTGTATTTGTTTTAATTTAAAAACGTTTTTAAAGTAATTTCTACGTCCAGTGTGGGGTTCCAACTCACGATCCCGAGATCAAAGGCTACATTCTCCACCAACGGAGTCTTTCAGGTGCCAACTTTAATTTCAAAGGAATGTTAAAGAGACAGATGTTTATACTTATTTTCATGTTTGTACATATTTAATTAATATCCCAATAAAAAAACAGTGGTCTATACAGTTTTATTCCCTTAACAAGGAGCACTCAGAGAAACAGTGATTTAGCTTTTACTCCATACAGGCTCATCTCTTTATCTTAATTTTTCAGAGGCAATAGGCTAACATACCACAAAACTAACAAAGTATTTTAGCTGAATACTTTGACTTTAATTGAAGGGTCAACTGGGTACCTAGAGAATAATCCAATTTTTTAGGTCATCTAACTATTCTTCCAAATAGAAGAAACAGGTGATTTGGCCCATATGAACACAGAAGTGACTCTGCACATTCTCCTCATGTTTAGGGATGGTATCCATGCTACGGGCACTTAACATCTACAGCCAATCCCTAATTCAAGAAGGGACATTATATTACCCACACACTTTGGTATTAATGACAGCAGCACTAAAAGCAAAGGACTTGAATTAAATTTTTAATGTAGATATTCATGAAGAGAAAACATTCAAGACATGTTTAATACTGTCAGGGACAGAATATTAGGCTGTTCCAAGTAAAAGCATTTACACTGTAGAAATTTACACTCTGGCAGCACACTAACAAATCTCGTAAAAGAAAATTACACCGCACACTATTGTACATGAGAAGTCAAAACTGAGGCTGATTTCAGTGTTTAGAACAAGACAGCACAGACACGGTTTGTATTTTTTTTCTGAGTTCTGAAATCCCAACCAATTATGAACAGCACAATAAATATTTTTCAGTTAATAAATGACATTTCATGTTACAGTTAAGACTAATCTTTCAACTCTCTCTCTCTCTCTCTATATATATATACATATTTTTTTTTGCGTGAAAGATATATACTTTTTTTGCCAAGAAAAATTTCCAACATAATTTTCATTGGAATATTCCCGAACAAGATCATAACTTGGCCTATTACTTATGGTATTATTTTCTTTTTAAAAAATACTTACAATATAACAAAACTATCCAACTGAAGAAAAGTTAGTATGATTAAGAACATACTGCATGGGTTTAGAACACTAATACACTAAATCAAATTTCCAGCCTGATTAGGATCATGGGTAGAACATTAAGCAGAAGCCCTTACAAAGTCCAAGCATTAGGCCAAATCTATTTATGATAGCGCCCTCTGATTTTTCAAGAAAAAGTGCTGGTAACTTTCCATAAACAATTTTTTTTTAAAGATTTTATTTGTCTATTTGACAGAGATCACAAGTAGGCAGAAAGGCAGGCAGAGAGAGAAAGCAGGCTCCCCGCGGAGCAGAGAGCCCGATGCGGGGCTCGATCCCAGGACCCCGACATGACTCGAGCCGAAGGCAGCCGCTTAACCCACTGAGCCACCCAGGCGCCCCTCCATAAACAATTTAAGAAACAAGATATCATGGGCCTTTGCAGGCCAGCTGCAAGTACCTAGGAGGGTAGGACATCAGAAATAATGATGGTGGAAGAGGTTAAAAACTAGCATAAATAAAAGAGAAAGGCTTAATATTCATAATTTGAATTATACTGATTTGTGGCATATTTTCCTTCAATACTGCAAGTGAGTTTACAAAACATTCCTGTTTCTACGAAAACCCAGACCAACCTAGTTGGTAAGAATCTTTTAAAACTCAAGCTTTTGATTTTCAGTCCCGTGCCACAGGCAGATCCCAGTAGCTCACATTTCTGCGCAGAGCCGGCGCCAAATCTTTGTTACCTACCTCCTTTACGCCTCACAACAACCACGGGAAGTACGATTATTCTTACTTTACAGATGAGGAGACTGAAAACTAAGGAGCTGAGCCACCGATCAAGGTTACACCGCCGACCAAGACTGGAACTGAAATGCCCGCCCGGGTCTACCTCACGAGACGCCGCCTTAGGAGTTAAAAGCATGCGGACAATACCAGCAGTTGGAGAGTTAGTTCTCCCAGGGAGAAATAAAACTTCCTACGCAAAGTGAAGCTCACGGAGAAACTTGGGTTCCACGCCCGGAAACTGCTCGTCTGTGTAGTCGCGCCTAAGAAAAACCGCGATACACCGAGGCGCTAGGAGAGGCCGGCCTCAGCGAGGACGTGGCCAGCGTTCAAACTCCCACCACGCTGGCGCAGGCACCACAGCTCCCGCCAGCAGCCGACGTGGGAGAGAGCGCGGCCGGGCCGGCCGAGGAGCACCGGCTCCTCCCACTCTCCGCTCCAGGCGCCCCGAGCCCACTCCGGACGCGGCGGGAGCAGGCCGCGCGGCGGGAGCAGGCCGCCCGGCAGGCCCGGCCCCCGGCAACCTCGCCTCTGGACCTCCCGAGCCGCAGGCGCCGCTCCCCGTGCACACTCACTCACCTTCTGCTCCTCCGCGGAGGCTGCCTCAGGGACTTCCGCGGACATACTGCTCCCTCTGCAACGAGACGCCGGGAGAAGATGCGATTTCCGGGTGGCCGAGGCCGCCCGGCCGCCGCAGGCCCGCCCGCCCCCGCTCTCCGAGCGTCCGCGAAAATGGCCGCCGCCTTATGACGACACGGAGCCTCGCCGCGCTCGGCAGCCGGCGATTGCGGCCCGCCGAGGTCGGCCGCCCCTCCCGCGCCGCGCCCCTACCTACCTGACCCTTCTCCTCCGGTTCGGCGACACCGAAGCACTTCCTCTCTTCCTTCAAAGGTCGCGGCTCGCGCCTCACCTCACATCCGTCGGGCCCGATGCTTCCTGGGAATTGTAGTTTATAAGTGGAGCCACCACTCCCCACCCTTTTCGGCCTGTTCTAGAAGCTTTGTTATTTCTACTTTCCCAGACTCGCCCGCTCCTACTCTCTTACTCGCTCTCCGCACTGTAGCCATGCATATTTTCTTTTGGGCGCTCCAGAGCTCTGTGCTGCTTCCTTTAACAAGTCTCTCCCCGCTCCGCTTTGCCTACTTAACCATATTCATCGTTCATATCCCCCCTTCGGCGTCATCGCCTCCGGCTTTTTTCGAGCCCCTAACACGAGGTCGGGTCACATCTCTGTATAGCTCCCCAGCAACACACACTGTATCATTACACATTAATTGTTATGATTACTCTATTGATGTCACCTTTCCTGCTCAGAGAAGCCGCATCAGGGCAGGGACCTCGTCCATAGTTGCTCATATTTTACTCCCAGAGCCCAGCTTGTCCTAGATGTTCAATAAATATCTAATTAAGGAATTAAAATTCCATTTATTTGTCCACTCCCACAACTTTACTGAAACCCCTGGCACCAAACTCATCCATGACTTTCTTAATTACCGTATCTGTTGACTTTAACTTTCTCATTCTAATTGACATCTGAATAGCTACCGGTAATACTATACAGGGTCGTTCCTGTGAAGTGTCTCTCAGAAACCTGGAAATTAGGTTGCCGTCTAAGAGTTAAACTGGTAGACAGCAACAGATAATGAATGCAATTCTGCGCGAGTTTGGAAACCATCAAAACGTTCAGCCAGAGTTTCCTAGGAAGAATCTCACTCTGGGAGAATTGCACTGGGATTGCAACAGGAGAAACAAAATCTTATACTGCAGTCTTTTTGGAGAAAAGAAGGAAGATGTTTGTCAGGCAAGCAAGTACTTAGAATACAAGAGTTCAAGAGGCCAGCTCTTTGAGGAAGATATCCTTTAAGAGTGTTTTGAGCTGGGCCAACTGAGAAACTTCTTAAGATCAACTATTGGTTCTCTTTCCATAATTGCAAAGTAACTTACTGAAAATTTGCCTTTTTTTCCTACAGAGCTATAGGAAGAAAGGAAAATGCACTAGTTAAGCTAAGTGAAGCATCCAACAGTTGTATTTTCATTAATAAATTAACATTCTGGAATATATCTTGTATCAATGTATTTGTGAGCTTGAGTTAAAATCTGAGACCACATATATAAAAAATCAGTATGTGTGATCTTGGATAAAGAGATTCTCTTTCTGAAAGATAGTGACACACACATGAGGGCAAGTTTGAATTTCTGGGAGACAGACTTTGGTCAATGGAAAATTTACAAAGGTCAGTGCCACATTGTGGAGACCTGAAAAGCCATCCTCCCCCAGGTATCACTCTTCGGCATCCTTAACCATGTACCTTAATGTTTAAAATCGCACTCTGATCAACAACGACCTCTAGGATACTACTCTCTTATTCTCTTCTACTTCTCTGGCCATTCCTTCTTAATCTCCTTTATTGAGTCTTTACCTTTCTCTTAGTTGGAGGATTCTAACAATTCTGTCCTTGGATCCCCTTTTTTTTCAAGTTTTACACTCTCCAGATCACTTCTACTTCTATATATTCCAGGTGCTATCTATATATTCCAGGCCAGTGCTGTCCAATAGAACTTTCTATGATGATGGAAATAACTCTGTATCTGTGCTACCCAATACTAGTGACAATTGTCACTAGTCAGGAGCACCTGGGTGTTTCAGTTGGTTGAGCCTCCAACTCTTGATCTCCCCTCAGATCTTGATCTCGTGGTTTTGAGTTCAAGCCCTGTGTTGGGCTCCATGCTGGGCATAGAGCATACATTAAAAACAAAAACAAAAACAAAAAACAAGGAACAGGGGCGCCTTGGTGGCTCAGGAGGTTAAGTTGTCTGAGTCTCTTTTTTTTGTTTGTTTGTTTACTTGAGAGAGAGAGAGAGAGCACATTGTGCAGGATGAGGGGCGGAGGGAGAAGCAGACTCTCCATTGAGCAGGGAGCCCCAGGCAGGGCTTAAGCCCTGGATGGACTCAGTCCTGGGACTCTGGGATCATGACCTGAGCTGAAGGCAGATGTTTAATTGACTGTGCCACCCAGGTGCCCCAAGTGTTCAATTCTTGATTTCTGCTCAGCTCATGATGCCTACTTAAGATTCTCTCTCCCTCTGCCACTACCCCCCATCTAAAAAATACAAAAAACAATGACTCTAATTTGACTACCAATCATTTGACACGTGACTAGTGCAACTGAGAAACTGAATTTTGAATTTTATTTAATTTTAATTAAATTAGCCACAGGGACTAGAATCACTGAGAAACACTATTAACAGATTTTCGTTAGGTATGTGGCAAGGTTCAAGTATTTTTGTTTAACCAAAGCTCCCCCTGGTGATTCTGATCCACACATGCACAAGACTTTTCAGGCTTGAAACTTGGTAGGTGTATAAAAGCTTAAAAAAGATCAGTGGTCTTTTAGAGGTGTAGGTGCCCTAGCTCAAGAGTTAGTAGGAGTAAAGGAGATAATATCCCACTCCAACCATTCCTCAAGCAGCTGAAAGAGGAAATCCACCTGCATCATTGCTGATATTGTAGCAAGTATCAATAACAGAATACATTTGCCCCCCTGGAGTAGCTTTTCACTTTTTATTGTCCACAGGGGAAGGAGCCTTCTCCATGCCACCAGAGGTGCTCACAATTTCTTCAGCCATTCCAAGCTAGAGACCTGGGCATGTCAGGTATGTCCCCATCATCTTGGAGGGGCACTGGATAGTTGTAGGGTGTGGCCTGGTTGATCATGGTGTTGTTTCTGGTGAGGGGCTGAGGGTGGGAGAATTGTAGTGTGCCCCCCTGCCATGGTGAAGGACGCAGCCAGCACTGGCCCCCTGATCCAAGCATCATTGAGGAAGACTGAGTCTCCTGGCCATCTTAGTTGCAGTGGCAGCGGCACCAGCTTACATTTTAAAAATATTTTATTTTTAAGTAATCTCTATACCCAATGTGGGGCTCAAACTCACAACCCCAATATCAAGAGTTGCACACTCCACTGATTGAGCCCTCCAGGCACCCCAAGAACAGAATACATTTATGAAAGGAAGATAGAGGAAGAGTCTGGAAGATCAACTCAGCCAAGTGAGATAAAGAAAGCCAAAACCCTGAATATAAATGGTGACTTCTGTGAGCTAAGCCCAGGGAACAAACATTACCTGAGTAAGGTCAGTTAACGGTAAAGAGAGAGCAGTTTCAAAAACTTCAGTGTCAGGGGCGCCTGGGTGGCTCAGTGGGTTAAGCCACTGCCTTCGGCTCAGGTCATGATCTCGGAGTCCTGGGATGGAGCCCCGCATCGGGCTCTCTGCTCAGCAGGGAGCCTGCTTCCTCCTCTCTCTCTCTGCCTGCCTCTCTGCCTGCTTGTGATCTCTTTGTCAAATAAATAAATAAAATCTTAAAAAAAAAAAACAAAAAAAACCACTTCAGTGTCAGAAAGGAAACCTAGAAATTGGTGGATGCCACTTCTCTAAGGACTAAGATGACAGTTCTTTATATGAATTAAAAGTACAAACAGGAAAATTTTGAATGAGTTGAAAAGAATGATGAATGGTGGGGTCTGGAAGAGACACCACAAACTTTATTAAACCTTTAAAATTTCTTAAAATGAGGTGCCTGGTGGCTCAGTTGTTTGGGCATCTGACTCTTGATTTTGGGGTTGTGGGATTGAGCCCCACATCGGGCTCTCCACTGCTCACTCAGCATGGAGGCTGCTTTGAGATTCTCTCTCCCTTTCCCTCTACTCCTCCAACTCCCCAACCTGCTCTCTCTCAAAAATAAACTCTCTTAAAATATTTACCACAATGTGTTTCTAAAATTTCCCTCAACTTTATTTGCATGCTTTCTGACTGTATACTAAGTTGAATGGCCTCTGAGTAGCTTTAGGACATTTCTTCCTAAAGTCCTTTTTTTTTTTTTTTTTAAAGATTTTATTTATTTATTTGACAGAGGGAGACAGCAAGAGAAGGAACACAAGCAGGGGGAGTGGAGATGGAGAAGCAGGCTTCCTGCCGAGCAGGAAGCCCAATGCAAAGCTCGATCCCAGGACCCTAATATCACGACCTGAGCCAAAGGCAGAAACTTAATGACTGAGCCACCCAGGAGTCCCAAATATTTTTTTAAGTCTTTTTTCCCCTAATGATCAATAGGCATTGCCTTATATATCTCACTCATCACACACAACTTATAAACTTTATTGCCAAGAATATTGATGAAAGTATATTTTATTTTTTTAAAGATTTTATTTGTGACAGAGATCACAGGTAGGTAGAGAGGCAGACAGAGAGAGAGAGAGAGAGAGGAGAAAGCAGGCTCCCCGCTGAGCAGAGAGCCCGATGTGGGGCTCGATACCAGGACCCTGGGATCATGACCCAAGCCGAAGGCAGAGGCCCTAACCCACTGAGCCACTCAGGTGCCCTGATGAATGTATATTTTATGCCAGACCGTAATTTTTAGTGGAAAAAGAATGAAGAAAGAGGCAAAATTCCAGTGTAGTAGAACGGAAAAGACTTAAGCTTTAAATCAGATTTGAATCCCGAGTCTTCTGACAGTGAGACCTTGGGCAAGCTCTTCAAGCTTCCTTTTCCTTCATTATAGAATAGATTTATACTCTCTGCAGTATGGCTTTAAGTGTTAAATAACATATAAATTGTTTACATTGACTGGTACATTCATAGTAGGCATTCATATGTTCTCTTCCTCCTCCCAGGGTCCAAGTTTAAAATACATATCTCACAAACTACTACAATAAAAATTTTTAGAGAGGGTATCTTTCTCATAGATAATCCACGATGGAGTAGAATGGGCCAATTCCAATGCATATATAATTTTAGGAATTGAGAATGAATTCCTACCATGATGAAAAGCCTTTTTCCCATCTAGAATGACACTGTATTCCTAGGTCTAGTAGACCATAAGGAGTGTCAAATATCAAGATTTCACAGTGACCATCTCTATAAAGTTATAGCTGAAAGGGTGAACAGAGAAAGGGACTTACATGGTTATTTTACATATTTAAGTAGTGTGAAAAAATATGATAATGAATATGTATTGCATGAATCTTTTAAGTTTGAAAAAGAGTCACTGCTTCATTCACAAAACTAATTAGCAAAGAGTAGGAAT